GATTCATAACGGACTCATGCCGGTCTGTCGCCGACCGGCAGCTTCTTCGTTCTTCATGCTGGCGGCGCTGTCGATGCGCGACCGGAAGGGCATCGACTTTGCGAACATTCGAGATTATTCTCGAACATTCTCCGCCGCAATCAGCAACTCCATTGCTGATTATGTATCGTGGGCTGCGTCGTCTGTCATGACAGGTAGCAGCGCGAGCTTCACAATCGGGCGTGTCAAAGTCGTGGTCGCTGTTCTCAATGTTACCACCCTCGTTCTGCCGTCCTTCCCTGGGTGTAATTCCAATACGCGGGCTAATGGCCATTTCCCAGGAGGCAGTCTCTCATCTGTAATCAAGACTATTGAGTTTACCTTGATGTCGTTGGCTGGGTGATGCCACTTTGACACGGCTTGAAGCCGCTGTAAGTACTGCGTGGACCAGAGTTTCCAGAACTGCTGCAATCGCTGCTGGATGAACTGCCATCGAGTGAGCCTTGACGTCGAGACGTCTAGCAGCGTGGCCTCAGGTGCTGCGTTCAGCGCAGACCCGATTAGAAAGTGTCCTGGTGTCAGCACATCTTCTAATTCGTTGGTCAACGCTCCGAGTGGTCGAGAATTGAGGACTGATTCGACTTGAGCGATCAGAGTGGTCGCTTCCTTAAACGTGAGCCATGTGTCGCCAACTGTTCTTCGCAGGTGATGCTTCATTGACTTCACTGCGGCCTTCCATTTCCCGCCCATGTGCGGAGCAGCTGGGGGGTTGAAATGCCAGTGCGTGTTCTCCTTGGCACACAGTAACGTGAACTGTTCGGACTCCCTAATGCCTTCCCTGAAACACCTTCGTAATTCCGCATCAGCTCCTACGAAATTGGTTCAACAATCGGAATAAAGATTGGATGGAATCCCTTGTCTAGCCGTGAACCTCCTGTAGGTAGTCACAAACCCTGCAGTTGAGTAATCTGAAACAACTTCCAAATGTACAGCAGACGTGGACAGACAGACGAAGACGCAAATCCATCCCTCATACGTCTTGGCTCCTCTGCCTTTCCAAGTCTTTAATGTGAATGGTCCCGCATAGTCAATGCCTGTGTGCGTAAAGGCTCGTGAATGTGTAACACGAGCACTAGGCAGTTGTCCCATCAGTTGCTGAGCACGGACTCCTCTTTGCCTAGCGCACTTTACGCAGCGCAGAATATGCGATTTCACTGGCGCTCTGCCTCCGACAATCCAATAGCGTTGACGAACGTAAGCCAGAGTGGACTGTGTTCCTCCATGTATAGTGAACTCATGTGCATGGGCACTGACAAGTTCTGTAAACCGTGATTGTCGAGGCAGTATCGCTGGATGTTTGTTCTCATACGCCAGTGTAGCGTGGTCAAGCCGTCCACCCACTCGCAATATGCCTTCGTGATCAAGAAATGCAGTAAGTCGAGTGAATGGATGTGTCCTTGGAAGTTGGGAACCCGTGGTCAGTGATCTGATTTCGTCGTCAAAGAATGTGTCTTGTGTTTCCTTTATCCAGAAACGGCGAGCGGTCTCCATATCTGCAGCGTTGACTGATGCTGGTCGTAATGGACCAAACTTCTTCGACAGTTTCTTGAGGTATCTCATGCAAAGAGCAGTAACTCTTAGCAGTTTCGTTAGAGTTCCACACTGGTGAATGACGTCCCAGGTGTACTCTCTCATTGAGTGTACTGTGTGCAGTGCTGTTCTTGAGCGTGCCTCTTGTGCATAGAGGTCATCCTCCTCACTGCTGGTCTGCGTGGGCCAGTTCTCTCGAGATTGCGTGAGCCACGAGATTATTCTCGAACAACAGGAATCCTTAGAAACTTTAATCAAGGAACATTTTCCAGGGGCGATAGATGAACAAGCGGAACTCGATCCACAGACCTCAAATAGCGAACATAGTCTACATCAAAATAGATTAAGACCTAATTGGAGTCTAGCTGCCCAGATAGTAAATGAGACTAAAACCACCTGGACTATAAATACCTTCTTACCGGACAAGGCCCCTGGGCCGGATGGAATAAAACCGGTCTTCCTCATAGAAGGAGCGTTACTAATTTTCCCACACCTAACAAAACTAATGCGAGCAAGCCTAGCCACTGGATACATCCCAAAACAATGGACAGAGACCAAAGTGGTTTTTATCCCGAAACCAGGCAAATCGGACTACACCTCACCAAGATCATTTAGACCAATTAGCCTTACGTCATTCCTTTTAAAAACACTTGAGAAACTAGTAGACAGATACTTAAAAGATACAGTATTAAAAGCCATCCCACTCTCCCCTAGACAGTTCGCATTTAGAGTAGAGCACTCGGTTGAGGCAGCACTACATGGTATAACTAAGCAATTTGAAATAGCACTTTATAACAGAAAATACGCTCTTGCATGTTTTATGGACATTGAAGGAGCCTTCAATCAAACGCCTAAGAATGTAATCATGAAAGGTCTGCTGGACCACAACACCAACTCAAATGTAGTACAATGGATAAATAATATATTAACAAACAGAAGTATCGCCACAGAACATGGAGGGGCATCAGCCAAGGGTCTGGCAAATAAGGGTACCCTTCAAGGAGGTATCCTCTCCCCTGTGCTATGGTGTTTGGCTGTTGACTCGCTGCTAAATAAATTAAATGAAAGGAGCATAGAAACATGGGGCTACGCTGACGACATAGCGATTGTGATTACCCACGAGATTGCAGCCAGAGCAAGGTTCCAGATGAATGAAGCGCTAA